AGGTTGCTGTGAGCTGTAATGCCACAGCACTCTACCCAGGGTGACAGCTTAAGTCTCTGTATCAAAAGAAAAGAAATATGCATGGCCATGAAAATATGCTCAACATAATCTAAGAAATGCAAATTAAACAAAATGCCTTTCTAGCCTACTAAAACGTTTTCTTTTCAATAATAATATCTATGGTTAGCCAGGTTGTTAGGGAAAGAACACTCTTAAAACAGCCAGGTTCTTGGGCTAATAATACTCTTATAACAGGAATATGTACATTGATATAACTTGTCTGGATGTCAGGGGGCAATATGCACCAAGAACAGTTTGCACCTTTGATCTAGTAATTACACTCACAAAAATTTCTCCTAACAAAATCACCTAGAATACATACAGAAATATATAGAAATATATTTATAGAATTATACGTATATATATGTATATATATGCATATATATATACACACACACCACACACACATACAGGCAGTTACTATGAGCTTGTAATAAAGGGAAAATAAAAAAATTTAAATTTTAAAACACAAGAAAATGGTTAAAATACGACATATCCATACCATGAATAGTACACAGCCTTTGAAACCTTTATTTCTTAAGAATATTTTATGGCAAAGCAAGGGATAAAAGTATGAAATCTAATTTTGTAATGAACTCTATCTGTATGCATATATAAATTATCAGTATATAAATTCAGAGGTGCAGGGAAGAGCAGAGAGAAAAGGGGAGGAAAACACCAAAAGTATGTATTTACCATCCAGAGTTTATAGTCGATTTGCATTTTTCAAATACTCTAATACTTCATAAATTTTCTACAATGAGTATGTACTGATGCATAATCAGAAGGAAAACTATAATATAATATTTCCTCTGAGGAAAGAAAAATATAAACATCCCTTTCAGATCTAGCAGGTTAATAGACTGACAGATTAACAGGCTGACAACCTGGAAAATGAGTTTAAATAAAAGCTCTATAGTTAGAACTCCCTTCTTTTTGGTACCTTTTATTTCCTGTTCTTGCCTAGCAACTTTGCAAGCTTACTTCCTAATCCCCTAACATCTATCTAGATAGAGCCATGTCACTAGTTCTCACCAACAACTGATGAGATGAAAAAAACAGGATGACACACAAATGGATCAACAAACTGTGGTATATGTACACCATGGAATACTATGCAGCCATAAAGAAAGATGGAGACTTTACGTCCTTCATGTTCACGTGGATGGAGCTGGAAAATGTTCTTCTTA